CCCTCAGCTAAACTGCTTTTACAGAGCTCTGCAGCCAAATAGTCTCCAGCCTGTGTGTACAGGTATGCGTCCAGTGTAGATGTCATGTATTCTCATTCTCTGCTGCTCTTGTACTTGCAGCACTGTGCAGCTGTTCGGCAGCTGGGTCTGATCTTCTCTGATAGCACCACCCTCCACCTTCCCAATCCTCTCAAACAAACTAGTTTTAATGAAAATACATTCCTGAGTTTGGCGGATTTAGCGGATTTTCCTCCCACTCTCATCTATCCTTCTCTCTTCAGGATTTTTTCAGGAGGGGGGAGAAAAGGTGCTACATCTCCAGCCGGAACAGCAGTGGCAGCAGGCCATTTTAAGAAGTGCTGACGCCAGGGTGCTGAGCTTTTCTGTGCGCATTCAAGGAATGAGGGAAGCAACTTCAACTGGCTTAGAAAGAGGCAGAGAGAGGGGTAGAGGCAGTTAATGGAGAGGAGGATACAAAGAGTTTGCAAATCATTTCGATTGAAACTATAGTGCAGAGACAACAACTCAGATATTGAAATTCAGAGACAGAACTGGGGTGGCACAGTGGTGTAGTGGTTAGTGGCGCTGTTGTTTCACAGCAAGAAGATCCTGGGTCCAAATCCAGGTCAGCGTTTCTGTGTGGAGTTTGCATGTTCTCCCTGTGTCTGTGTGGGTTAACTTCGAGTACTCCGGTTTTTCTCCCACATTCCAAAAACATGCAGAAGTGGGGTTAGATTAATTGGTCACTTTCAAATCGTCCATAGATGTGAATGTGAGCATGGATGGTTGTTCGTCTTTATATGTCAGCCCTGTGATAAACTGCCAACTTGTCCAGGGTATATTTTTGTTTTAGTGATAGATATATTGTCTTTGCACTATTTGCAATTAATTGATAAGGTGGCAAATTTACAAAAAAATAGTTTTTATTGACATTTTACCCCTTTTTTCGGACTGTGGATGTAATTTATCTGGAATAAGAAAAAGAGTAACTTTTATCTTTGAAGGGAAAATCAATAAAGACGATGATAGGGGAGAGGGGTGAAAGAGGTGGGTAAAAGAGGGTCATGCATAGTGTTTAACCTCCTCCATAAATGCTGCTCTTTGTTGGTACATGGTTGAGGACTCTCCTGTTGTTAATATCAGCAGCAGGATAGCAGCAGGTTACCAAATCCCGTGTCTAACCAGGAACTAAGCAGAACATATGTAATTTCTGTTTTCTGCTCCAAGTGGATCTGGACCACTGATCATTAAAATCGACAGGATGCATTTCTGTGGTAAAATTAAACCTCATTTACTAAAAGGCCAAGAAGTTTCCTACTTAACCAAAATTTTGAGTCAGAATACTTTGTAGCTTGTGAAATTTATATTTGATTGGCTTTAGACATTACACAGAATTGATCAAAACAATTCAAAAGGGTATAGAGGGTGACATATGGTGACAAAATACTGGGAGCCAGATCTACCAGCAGACATTCCCAGACCACAATAATCCACTGCAGATGATGCCTGACACACACATGTGCTCCATGAAGACAGCAGCTTTGATGGCAACCATCACGACACAGTAATGATCATTATTTCCTACACACTGATTTACCATACGTGCATCTGTGATGTATTTAAAATGACTAATGTCAGGAGCTTTAAGTTAACCCTTAAAATAGTCCTAAAAAACCTACAAGTTTACAAAGCTGGTGTTTCATAGAGGTTCAGACAAAGGGGGGAAAAGTCATAAATCAGTTGACTGTGATAGTTCTGCTGGAAAACATGTGAAGGGTTCCAGCAGATGTGAATACGAACACACATCAAGCTAAACCATGACTCCCTGGACTGACAAACACTCTCTCACCCATCAAATCCCCTGGAGCGCCCATAAACCAACAACTCAGATTCCAACAAAAGATGTAACGCTGTGTAAAAAACAGAAAGTGATGGTTTGTAATCATTTCAAAACTCTACATTTAAATGAAAACATATCACATGTTGAAATGGAACAATGTCATTATTTTATGAAAAATGTTTCCTTATTTAAATCTAGCAACACAAAAACAATGAGATAGGGGCATATTTACCATTGTGTCACATCACCTCTCCTTTGAACAACACTTTGTAAACTTATAGGGACTTGGGAGACCAGTTTCTGAGGTTTTAAAAAAATATATACTGTCCAGTTCTTGTCTATTATGGGATTGTTACATCTTAAGGGTCTCCTTTGTCATATTTTTCCTCTCTGATGTGCTAAATATGACTAACAAGTTAGGACTACAGGCAGGCTGGTTTAGCACTCAGACTCTTCGAGTATGCAGCCATGCAGTCTAAATGCTGCCTCTTAAGTTGTGTTATTTAACACTTAGCATCCCCATACTTTCACTTATGTGAGCTTTTTAGCTGTGCACCAATGAAAAGCCTGCAGGTCGTTCTCCTATTCAGAGCTGAGGACGCAGCATTCATGAATCTCAAAAAGAATGTCTAATGTTGGTTCCACAGGACACTTTTCTGCTTTGCCTTTGCTGGCATTTAGGGGTTATGTTTCTAAAAGGTTTCTTCTTTGCATGCTGCAATTGTAACCTTCACTGTAATTGACAGTGTTCGCAGACATCACCTCTATAAAAGTTATGAGAGTCCATGCAATTAGTTCCACTATAGACTCATGTCTGGCCATGAACTTCTTGGGCTCTATTTTCGTGCTTCGCTGGAGACGTGGCGCAAGCGTGGCGTAAGTCGTTCCCAAGCACAATTTGGTATTTTGGTGAGCAGCGCAGCCCGGCGTAAGTATCCCCCCTCCCTAACTCAGCTCCTCCCTGCGGCGTAAGTCGTAGCGAGGGAGCGAGGGAGGAGAGAGGGCGTGGAGTGGGTTGAACACAGCCGAGACCTGTATTGACCAATAACATCAGCTCCTCTCCTCGCCTTTAAATCCGCCACCGGCGAGACGTATTACTATTTTCGTGAAGTAGTCAAAGAAATCAAGAGATGTCTGAAGACAGCAATGCCACACGATGGTGACAGAAGGCAGCTCCTCAACAAGTGTCACTGTAAGCGCTGCAGAGGACGTCCTTCACACTTTCTCATATGAGCACAGATGGATTTGGTGTGTTTAATGTTGGACCCACTGGTAAGACAAATACCCTTTTACACAAATAAAGACACTCACATAAAGTTGCACATATTCAAACCTCAAATGACAAAGGTGGGTTGAGCGCACAGATCACAACATAAACTCCATAAATGGCATTAAAATCGGAACCACCTTTGCGTAAAGGACGCACCGCGCCTGGCTCTTTCTTTCATGGATGTTGGCATATAAAATAAATTTGGCTCACAAAACTGAATATTATAATATTTGTATGTTGGCTAAAAGAAAATAACTCATCTGATCACTGAAACAAATCATCTTTTCAGCCGCCGCAGCAGCAGCTGCAGCACGTAGGGGAGAGGACAAGGAGACATGTCCAGGTCGAGCTGCGCGAGAAATAAGAGGAAGAGGAAGAAAGAAAAGGAGGGAGACAAATTAAATATCTTGTTCACTTCATCATGTGTGTTTATTTACTAGGTATTTAGTAAATAAACAGCGGTTTCAGCTGTGTTGATTCAGATATAGATCAGGATATATCTATATAGATCTAAATGTATGTGCTGACTCAGATTATTACTTGTTGTTGATAAATTATTGCACTGAAATGTGCCTGACACTGTGGAAACCTGCCGGTGAGGCATCGGTGACGTATACCGATACGCCGCCGGTCTACCAAAATACCACTAGACCAGCTGCGTTTCGCTTGCGCTGAAAGCTGACCAGGTTTGAATCGGCTGATTCTGTCGACACTTCCCCCTGCCACGCCACCACGCCCAGCTTGGCGGACCTCAGTGTGTCTCAGTCCACGAAAATACCAAACTGGCTGTACGCTGGGCTCCGCCAGATGAAAATATCACTGTGCGAGGTCCGTCACCCTCTGCCGCCTCACCGGCAGACACAAAAATAGAGCCCCTTGTCTCTAGTCTTGTCCCGTATGTACAGAGATTTCTCCAGACTCTTTGAACCTTTAACCGCAGTATATGACGCTTGGTAGAAGATGAAATCCACCAATCCTTTGCAAGAAAATGCCAAGTTCAATGATTTGCCCCCCAATCTCTCACAGAGTGTTGGAGGTCTCTCGTCTATCTTCACTCTTGGCAGACTCTGAATCTCTAAAAATGCCTCATTTATTCTCAGTCATGTTATCATGTTATTAACTTCGTCACAGAAGGGATGATCCTCCAGGCGTTTTTTTTTTTTTCTGGGGGGGATAAAAAACTATGGTAGTGTTTTGTAGAAACTCTATTTAACAGTTGCTTCAGTTGCTTACATTACATTTTAAATGAATAAAAATGTCTTGTTTTCATACGATGTATTTTTTTCAACTTTCGCATATTACGTATTTCCCTTGCATGTCTTCCAACCAAATATAGGGTTTATACAGATTTGCAAACCATCTATATCCATATTTACAGTGTTAAAACTTTTTTGGTATTAAGGTCAAACATTTATGCTTTTTATCCATCTGTGCACTCGTAGACACTTGCCAAAACACCGTTCACAGGGATCGACATGTTAAAGTGTTAGCCTCCTACGCAGCTGTGAGCAGCAGTAGAAACTGTTTCCAAGGATAGCTTAAGGTAAGTTTAAGAGGCCAGAAGACTCAGTACACCCCTTCTGCTGGGAGGGGGAGACAGTTGGTTTGAATAAAAGGGACAAATAATGCATACTAATATGAAATGAAAACATGGACATGGACAAGTACAGACAAAATGGACACAAAAAATCAAACAAAAAGCTCCATCCTTAACAGAAGCACTCACAGTAAAAATGTCTCAAATATAAAAACAAACTCAATGAGGAAAGGGGTTTGAATGATTAAACAAATGGTAAAGAGAGACACTGAACATCACTTGGTGTCTCTCACTGTTGATTGTGCTCCATTGTGTCCTTTCAGAGTGAAGAGTCCTCAACCCTTCTAGATGTCTCATGTCATCTCGCAGAATCCTTGACTCCCCACTTCAGGCTGCTCTGGTTCCCTCTGGGAGCCCTGGGCACTGCCAGCTGAGCCACCTTGTCGACAACTCTCCCCCATGGCTGGCATCCAGTGACTGGCTTTGTAGCCTGAAAGAGACAGAAAGAACATATCACTCCTGAAGGTAAGCATGGGAACATTTCATCATGGGGAGCACAGGTGACAACGCCAGCACCAAGACAGGTGGATTTATTCTATTATTCACAGCATAGCCAGGGCATCAGATCTCCCCGGCGACCGCTACAGAGGCTGGAGTCAGAGGTGACATCAAAAAGACAAGAGCTTGGTGACAGCCGCCGACTGCGCCGCTGTTGAGATAATTCCCAGGTGCCCCGGCATGGGTCCCTACTCTGCAGGGACCAGTGGGATCAGGAAAGGTCACCTGGAAACACAGGTCAAAGCTTTGATCCAATCAGAGGAAATCCAGCAGGGATGGGCTTTCATGAGTCAGGGATGGAGGGAAGTGGTCTGCTGTCATTTTGGATTTTAAAGCAAAACTTCAATCCAAATGGGAGGCAGACAGCAGCAGCCCCATAATTATTTAATACACGGCTCGCCTCAGACTCAGTGAGACTTACAAACACAGGATAGAAACAAAAAAGGACCCATGATAATGCTTATTATTAGACTGCATTTTTTATGAGCCCCCTCCCAATTAGAAAGTCAATTGCCGGTTATGTATTCATGCAGGCAGTGAAAAAGCACTGAGAGAGTGACCCTCAAGCTTGACCTCACACGCTTTGAACTTTTTCTCTGCACCCCCCATGTCTCTCGCTCTCTCTTTTTTTCTCCCCCTCTCTCTGCCTGCACTTGGGAATGAATGCTTTGATATGGCCCGTCCAGCTGCATAAGTAAACCACATTACATTTTAGGAATGTAAATAGCAGAAAGTTCCTTTTGTGAAAAATTCATTGGATGCTCCCAACTGGACCACATCATTATCTAAAGCGCATATTTAAATACCTCTTATGATTATGGAGGAATGCATGCAATTTCCCCTTTCAATGTCTAAACCGGTCATTTGGTCTGGAGATAGGAGGTCACAGAGACAGAGTGGGAAAATATAGAAATACTGTGTGCTGAAGCAATGAACCATGGTGATCTGTGTAAGACTTCTAACTGCTCTCTGGACCCCAAACAAGAGCCAATGACTATAACTGGAGAATCATATACATCCACTGAGCACCAGGCCAGTGATCCAGGCTGACACAGCTGCACACAGACTATCCTATCACTGCAAAAGACCATATTCCTACAGCCTCTCCCTGGGTAACAGTTACAATAATATTGTTTAAAATTTCATATATATTTATATTGATAGCCCCTTGAGTTGCGGCATCTCATTTTCAAGGGGGTCCTTAAACAAATACATAGTAAAGCACATACATAAATACCACAATACTTAACAAATAGTTCTCCTTAACTTGAGTCTCTCCCATCCGCAGCTCTCAGCTGCTGAACAAGGATCTTGATAAGAAACAAGGTACAACAGAGTAGAGCAGAAGAGCACTTTGTCTTTGGTTACAAAAAAAATAAAATTCAACATAGGATAAATGACGGAATAGATATCATCGACAGCAGTGGAAAGAGTTAATGAATGTTATTTGGGAGGGATGATTATACCAAGAGGATGCAGCTTTAGATCTAAATGACCAAATTCATTATAGATTCTGGGAGCAATGAAATAGAGATGATACATACTGTATGAGTGGATATGAAGAAGAATATGGAACAGGAACTATGTTGGATGTGGTGGACAATACTGAAAAATAAACCTAGTGAAACTACTATCTGAGTTAAGGTAAAAGTAAATTTTGCAATTCATACATTGAGTAGCGGTGTGCTTCTAAGAGCTCTTTTAAACAAATCTACAAAGGGAACTGTGTGCAGCATCAAAGGGCTTGAGGTAAATGTCTGAGGTGTCCAGCTAAACAATATCGTAATAACCAAAGATAGGCAATATCAATGGAGAGGTTATCCTTCCCCTTTCTTGGTTTAAAGAACAGTTAATACATGGTTTACCCAATCCAATCCGAAGTCCAAAGGTGATAATGTAAAAAAAAAAACATCCCAAAGTTACGTCATTTAGCAGATGCTTTTATCCAAGGCATTCAGGAGCAAGAACAACACAAGCAAAGATCTAGGCAAAAAAAAAAAAAAGATCAGTAAGAGCCACAAAGAATTTCAAGTCTATTTGGACACAGGTACTGCCATGCAGTGTTAAAGGTAATGAACATAGTGAATAAAGTTTTGGAGCTGGGTCTTTAGCTGTCTTTTGAAAGTAGAGAGGAACTCTGCTTTTTGAAAGGAGTTGGGTAATTCATTTTAACATTTTACCATTTAGGCACAACAGAGGAGTGACTTAGGGGCCTGATGTGCTAGAAGCACCAGGTGCCTTTCTTAGGCTGAGTGGCGTGGACAAGAAGGGGTGTAGACCTGGATGAGAGGGTCCAGGTAAACAGAAACAGTTTTGGTTACTGCTTTGTAAGCAATGATTAAAGTTTTGTATTTTATGTGAGCTGCTCCAATCTTGAGCCTTGTAGAACACCAATGCAGACAAATGTGTAACTGAGAACCATTAAATACAAATTACTATTATAAAAATAGTCAGAGACAGAATAGTCACCGGTGTCTACTTTTATATCATGTTAGCTAGTGACTTTAACAAAGTTAGCACCAGTGATGCCAGTGACGTGTTACTTAGTTATGCGTTACCCTGATATGACCATTTTTTAAGTAAACAGTAATCAAACACATTACCTTTGCCACACCAGTAATCTGACTGAAGTTACTTATCCAAGTCACTACGTGTTAGTATATTTGTCATTTTCCTCAGTAAAAAGATATATTTGCTTTCTTCCTGCATGTCGGGGGTTGACGTCATGTATGCGACAAGTCACCTTTTTTAGCATAATCAACTCATTTGTAATACATAGCCAGCGACACAAACATAATCAGCAATGGAGGGAGGAGAGAAATGTGCATTTTTAGCTGGAATTACAGTCACTATTTTGTTTTTGGGTCAGCTAAAGATGACAGTATTAAGGTTCGTTGTACACTCTGTGCTGGCAGTGGCAACAAAATGTTATCTACTTTAAAAACAGTACATCCAGTTTGAAGAAACATTTGGGACTCTATTTTCATGCCTCGCCGGAGACGTGCCACAGGCACATCGTAAGTCAGGTCCGCCGCGCCCACAAGGCGTTCCCAAGCACAATTTGGTATTTTGGTGAGCGGCGCAGCCCGGCGTAAGTATTCCCCCTCCCTAACTCAGTTCCTCCCAGCGGCGTAAGTCGTGGCGAGGGAGGAGAGAGGGCTTGGAGTGGGTCTAACACAGCCGAGACCTGTTTTCACCAATCACATAAGCTCCTCTCCTTGCCTTTAAATCCGCCACCGGCAAGGCGTATTACTATTTTCGTGAAGTAGTCAAAGAGATCAAGAGATGTCTGAAGACAGTAATGCCACACGATGGCGACAGAAGGCAGCCCCTCAACAAATGTCACGGTAAGTGCTGCAGAAGGCATCCATCACACTCTCTCATATGAGCACAGACGGATTTGGTGTGTGTAATGTTGGACCCACCGGTAAGACAAACACCCTTTTCCACAAATAAAGACACTCACATAAAGTTGCATATATTCAAACCTCACGTGACAAAGGTGGGTTGAGCGCACAGATCACAACATAAACTCCAAAATGGCATTAAAATCTGAACCATCTCTGCGTAAATGACGCATCGCGCTCTGTGGCCTGGCTCTTTCTGTCATAGATGTTGTCATATAAAATAAATTTGGCTCACAAAACTGAATATTATAATATTCGTATGTTGGCTTAAAGTAAATAACTCATCTGATCACTGAAACAAATCATCTGTTCAGCAGCTGCAGCAGGACGGAGAGAGGACACGGAGACATGTCCAGGTCGAGCTGCGCGAAAAATAAGAGGAAGAGGAAAAAAGAAAAGGAGGGAGACAAATTAAATATCTTGTTCACTTCATCATGTGTGTTTATTTACTAGATATTTAATTTAATTTAATGCGGTTTCAGCTGTGTTGATTTGGTCAGGTTGTGTGTCCAAACGAGTGCCAAACGCGCTCATCAGATCAGATATAGATCAGAATATATCTATATAGATCTAAATGTATGTGCTGACTCAGATTATTAGTTGTTGATAATTATTTATTGCACTGAAATGTGCCTGACACTGTGGAAACCTGCCGGTGAGGCATCGGTGACGTATGCCGATATGCCGCCTGTCTAGCAAAATACCACTAGACCAGCTGCACTCCACCTGCGCTGAAAGCTGACCAGGTTTGAATTGGCGAGCTTTCAGCGCACTATACACGCCACTGACGAGCACAAAAATGTCACTGCGCGCTGATTCTGTCGACACCTCCCCCTGCCACGCCACCACGCCCAGCTTGGTGGATCTCGGTTCGCCTCCGTACGCCTCAGTCCACGAAAATACCAAACTGGCTGTAGGGTCCGCGGCCTCACCGGCGTACACGAAAATAGAGCCCTTGGACTCACAGCACAGTCAAACTCACAGAGAAAGTCCCACCAGGTGGTGTGAAGCAGAGAACTGCCACTAATGCAGGAGATCCTGTACCACCCCAACAACAATAGTTGGACTTGGCTGCAAAACCAGTAAGTGGGGGAGAGTTGACGAATTTGTTCGGGTTGTGTTTATTTTTGTTAAGTGGAGTCAGGAAAGAATGCCTTCATTTTAATGTTTATAAAAACATGTATTCCTTTCAGAAATAGTTTTTAAGTTTTAAGACTTAAAATGCCAGGAGATACATTGATGACGTTACTGTAAAAAATACACTTCCAGGAATCAGAATGAGAATACTTTATTTATCCCCAGGGGGAAATTTGATTATTACAGCATTACACTTGCTCTTGAAAATACAAATGTCAGTAGAAGGGAATAGGAATAGGAATTAATAAGAATAAATCAGAAACTGCAACAGTTAGTATAAAGTGCAGAAAATAATCAAATCCTCCTGTGAGTTTTTGTTTTAATGTTCATGAAAGAGACTGAGGACTGAAGGACTGACAATTTTGACATCCTAATTTTGAATGCCTGAAACAGGTGTGAAGAGGTGTCAGGTAAACAGCTGAAGAAACAGCTCTACTTTTTACATGTAAAATATTTACTTTAAAACAAGACATGACCAGAATATGTTTGTCAGAATATACTGATTGATAGGGTTTCTAACTTTGAACACAGTGGTAAGATTGGATAACATTATTTTAGATCCCCACCGCCATGGGAAGAGTGTTTTGCATCCGTGATGGTATTAGCAGCAGAATGCAGCATCATGCTTCTAAACATCTACACAGACAAACAAACATGAGTTTGTGAATGTCAGATGAGCTTTCTGACAGAATTACTCTGATAGGCACATGATATGCTGAGCTGTGTATATTATCTGCAGAGATCAAGTGTAAACTTTACTCTGCACATATCTGCCATAAGTGGAAACATGGCTCACAGCTCAGATAGCTCAGGCTGCCATCACTCATCAGTTCCTCCTCCTCCTCTTCTCTTCTGCTGACTTTCTGTCTGTCTGGGAGATTGCTTGTCTCAGGGGGGAACGGGGCATGTCTCTGTCTCTGGAATGACAGGAGTTCTCCCTGTCTCTCTGTGAGTGTGTGTTTTTTTGTCTCTCTTCAGTAAAACACTCAGTGATTCTGATTTGCCAAATACAATCACCTTCAAACCTCCAGCTGAATCTCCTCTCTTGTCCTCCTTGTGTCCTCCACCATATATTCTGTTATTATACACCCCAACAAACGTACACACTCTGAGTCCTCCCCCCATGATCAAATGAAACAACACTGACAACCAAACATCTCCACAGCAAACGCACAACATCCCCAAAGGTAGGCTGATTTGATATGAGTGAATGTGTGGAGAGCTGTGATCTCTCCTCTGTCAAATATCAGTGTCTCCTCCTAAGACAAGAGATTGGTGACAAGACACAAACACACTCTCAGACAATAAACAGTGTTATTGAGGAGGTGATTGAGGAATAATAATTAACGACAAACATGCAGCAGGACGGAGATACTCTCCAAAGACCAGGCTGCTGTCCCCTGAGGGACAGAATGGGGCTTCAATTAACTGACAGCCGCACATATTAGAATTTCTATCATGGGCCTTGGTGGGCTGGTGAGATGCAGGACTACAATGCTTTGAAAACCAGTGTGGTTTCCCCATCAAACACGTCCTCTAGGTCCTTTGATCTGCTGGGTGGTATGTGTCCTTGGAGATACGTGTCTACTTCCTCAAAGCTCTTTGTTGCCAGCACCTCATTTTCCTGCACTGAGTTTCAGTGCTGCTGCAGCAGCAGCAGACTCAGCTGCATTCACTCTCAACTACGAAACAGCTCATGCACAGCATGTGACATCAGGTGATTTAAACATGCATGATGAATACAGCAGCCGTGTGTGTGTGTGTGTGTGTGTGTGTGTGTGGAGCTCATGAATATGGGTGATATGGCCATCTCAACCCTAAAAGATACTGTCACTACTTTTCTCCACTGTGCAAAACTCTCTTTTGAATGAGTCCCATTCAAGTGAAAATAAAATATACAGTGCAGGTGGATGACTATCACTGACTTTTCCTTAATCTAGCATTGCTGGCCATATGTCTAATTTAACAGTTCCAGAGTTTGGGGTTTTTTTTAAAGAAAAAAGGAATGGCCAAAACTGGTCAATACTGAGTCGAGCTAGCAGTGGTGAATGTAGTCTTCTTTATCTGTATTCATTTTAATTTATGTTGTATACAAATGTCTGCTCAAGACTAGCATAACAGCAGAAACACTCATCTGACAGTTTGGAAAAACAGAATGAAACAGAGAAGAGACACTCAACATGATACAACATTTCTCCTTGTGCTTTTTTTGCTATAAATGCTCCTACATTTGCAGCCTCATCAAACGGAAAAAAAAAAGATCAGCTTTGATTTATCCGTCAAATATTTTGCTGCAAACTGGAGCACTTCTAAGCAATTACTACAGCTTTTCCATTGAAAACACTTCATCCAGCCACTGGACCATCAGACTTAGCACACATCGGAAGTCTACATGTTTGCGGTAAACTTATGCTGCTGGTGTTTTTACTTATAGGACTGTGAATATGTGTAGAGATCATATAATACAGCACCTCTGTATTATACAGTACCTCTGAATCAGGAGACCATTTGCCTCCGTTCTACCTCAAAAAAGGTGTTTCAAAGAGTGTTGTTCAAACCAGTGAGTTTGCCATTTATTGATTTATCTTAGCTTATCTAGCCAAAGTCTGTAAGAAACATTTGAACAGCAGGTTATGTGACAATAGCCACTAACAACGGCTACCAAAATGTACCTCAGACATTTTCTGTAAAGGCTTAATTTTGGGGTATTTTCATGACCATAAAGCTGGGTGAAATGTGACACCGCCAAGCCGTGTCTTGCTTTACATCAGTGAAAAGTGTTTAAGTAAGAGGCTAAGCACTGCTGTTAAGTTTGTTGAGCTGCAGATCATGCAAAGCTACATAGGTGTCTAAGACTGACGCAATGAAAGATGACACTGAGTAAAATAGGTCTTTTTATTATCTGACGGGCTACTGCAAGACACCAATGACATTTGATGGGGACTGTCACTGAAATAATTCTGCAGAGGTTAAAGTTATGATGATGAGGGAATAAAGTTGGGATACAACAGGAAAAGAAGTAAAGCAGAATCACATTTCAGTGTGATATGCAGCAGTCAGCTGCTCTGCAGATGAAAACCTTCATTTCATCTACTGTAAAGTATCAGGAGTGAATGTGGGGCAAAAGCCAAGAAGCCCCCCCCCCTTATGAAGACTGACGTCAGCAGGCGTTCTCACCAGCCGGCTCTGCCTTGAAGTGCTGGGTCAGTTTCCTGTTCGGCCCTGACACAATATGCATGAATGCTCCATCTCGCTGTGCTGCCTCCCTGTGAAGTGGTGTTCAGGTTACATTCCTCCCAGCTAAAGCCCTCAGCCCTCCCCAGCCACAGCAGATCTGTAAACTGTTTACACTTCACTTCCCACACCTGGAAGAGGGCCAAGGCAAACCTGGAACCAGGCCCACAAGGAGAAACCAACAGATAGGCCCTCAGATTTCAGCGGGAGGGGAGCGATTGTGTCTTGGGTTGGGGTGGAATATTGACTCACCACCACCATCAACAGCACCCGCTTGTTTCCTCCCCCTTATAGAGAGAATAAAAGAGAAAATACAGAGTGAGAAACATCCATGTGTTCAGCAATCTGCAGAAGCAGCCTGCTTTCATCACATGAATATCTCTTCATACTAAGTCTTCATGTAAAGTACTTTTCTGTTGTCCATTGACTAAAAGAGTTGGATGTTGCTCTTTAAAAATGTATAAGCATGCATTAAAAATGAAAATATAAGGGTTGTACTCATGCAGGATGATAATGTTCCTGTCTGGACTCTCTTTCAGAATAACATCAACGTTGAAATCAAAGCAGGAAATCTTCTTCTGATGCTCAGGTGCTCCTGCATACGTCACTGCTCCATTCCCAGCAGGAATATCAGCGCTAACTTGTGCTTAAGCCTCACACCACTTCTGCCATGTCAGTTTTCATGCAAACTGCACCTCATGTAAATGTGAGTCCAATCCCTGACATATTGTGCAAGCGTGATGTAAGTCTAAGACAGAAAGAAATCCTGGCTCCCCTGGTGCTCACAGTGAAGCTCTTAAAAGAAGAAAAACAGGCAACAGAAAGAATGAGGGAGGACCAGCTGTATTTGCTTCATGATTACAAAAACAAACTGAGTGTAAGACGGTGGAGGACCTCGCAGGATGGGACACAGATATACACTGCAGGCAATCACTTCATTAGAAACAATATTATGGGAAGATTATATGCAAAAATGCACCATGTGAATTAGAATTATGATGTTTGATGATTATATTTAGATAAATTTATGCAAGCAAAACTATGCACAACATTTACTGGAGTAGAGAGGAAATTAAAGAGAGACCTACATTTTATTATAATGCACAATTAGGCTGCCGCAGAGTCATCTGTGAAGCATACTGTAGCCCATAACATGCAGTGAAGAAAGAGGCAGTGGGGGAATATAATATACAACCCCATTGCCTCATTCAAAATGTAGATGCTGCGCTCATACAAATACAAGATGCTCAGTAAAATTATCACTGGAGTCAAAGTGTCCTACCAGAGTACTTGCTTTTAACAACACGTACACATGTAAAAATATTGTTGTATTGTCATAATGAATGCACTTAGGAACACATAAAGCACATTCTGCTAAGTTATGTTGATTTAAAAAACATTATTTACAGTTTTTAAACTGACATTGCCTCAGATTTCAAGCCAAAAAGGAACTATAACAGACTATTTAAAGACTGGAGCCACAATGACATCATAGTATTGGCTAGAGGTGAAATGAAGCAAAACCAGAGTAACACCATTCAACACCACAGGGAGCTGAGAGTGACAGGACTCCTAAAATAATGTCTCCTTGTCTTTTTGCGTGTCAGAGTAGAACTAGTGATAGTCATGTCTCAAAACTGAAATTCAACCTCATACCAGCCACCACAGCCCATCAAGAAAGCACAAGACAACAGTGGTTAAATGTGATAAGATGAAAAATCTAGACAGAGGCAATCAGCAATACTCACGTGCACAGACTACACTTCATATCACTCATTCATACTGTCATATGAATGTATATGCTGTATATTGAAACAATAATTGTGAAATAATATAATATTTCTGTGACTTTAACTTTCTTGAGCACATGGGCTAATGTTAAGCTTCCTTATAAAAACAAACCACAAGAGGTCTTTAATTTGTTGCCCTCCTTTGTATGATTGCCATAGCAGTCAGCAACTAATATATAGGCCTCTGGACATGTTATGTGCCTTCAGTGCATCTTTACTGTACTGTATATCATTGTATAGACAATCAGTTTAATGTAAATGTCAGACACCTTTGGCAGAGACTTGTTTTGCATTTTCTAAGCCCCTTCTGCTGAAAAAAAAAAAAAAAAAAACTAAACTCATACTATTAACTTATAATGTAATAATTCCATATGAATAGCCCACCAAAGAGTTCAAATGAAAATGAAGTTACAAGAAAACAGACAACCAGTGTTGTGCAAGTACACTAAAAGTAAGCTAGTTCAAAATTTGTGAAATTTGAACTGGTTCCCATTCATAGCTCTCTTTATGAAAATAAAAACAAAACAAAAAAACACTAATAATTATAACTAAGTTCGTGGTCCATAGATGAACTACTCTGAACAAAAATATAAATTTAACACTTTTGTTTTTGTTCCCATTTTTCATGACCTGAACTCAAAGATCTCAGACTTTTTCTATGTAGACAGAAGACCTATTTCTCTCAAATACTATTGACAAATTTGTCTAAACCTGCTAGTAAACACTTCAAGATGCTGATTAGACAGCATGATTATTACACAGGTGTGCCTTAGACTGGCCACAATAAAAGGTGAAGTTTTACTGTATTGGGGGCATCCGGAGGGGTTAGAGAACCAGTCATTATCCGGTGTGACCACCATTTGCCTCACACAGTACAACACATCTCCTTCCCATAGAGTTGATCAGGTTGTTGATCGTGGCCTGTGGGATGTTGGTCCACTCCTCTTCAATGGCTGTGCAAAGTTGCCGATTCAGATCATCCCAAACATGCTCAATGGGTGACATGTCCAGTGAGTATGCTGGCCATGCAGGATCTGGGATGTTTTCAGCTTCAAGGAATCATGTACAGATCCTTGCAACATGGGGCCGTGTATTATCATGCTGTAACATAAGGTGATGGTCACAGATGAACGGCACAACAATGCGTCCAAGGATCTCATCACGGTATCTCTGTGCATTCAAAATGCCATCAATAAAATGCAAAGTGGTCCTCAGCCATACATTTAACCTCAGCCGCTGTGCTCGGCAACTCCACAGACCTCTTAAAAAGAACTATAACCACATTCCCTTTCATGAGTTGCAAAATAAGCATCATTTTAGCACATTCCTGCGCAACACTGCATCCAACTTTATTTAAAGGGATAGTCCGGTGTAAATTTAAGTCATGGTCAAACACACCATAACACCAAGTTAGAAACCCCCTTGATAGATGAATGTTACAGACCGCTTGCTTCTTTAGCTATACCAACTTCAAAAATAACCACACGATACCAAGACACAGCGGTCTATGTCTCCACGCGCAAACCTCAACCAAAAAGCCACTCTATAGCCACAAATAATGCTCAGTATCAATGTGCTTCTCAATAAGAGAGAAAGCCCTAGAGAAATTTCACATCACTATTGATAGTAAAGAAATTGAGATGGTAAATAAGTTTAAATATTTAGGTGTAACGCTAGATCTTCAACTTAAGTTTGACACACATATAGAAAAGCTGTTTAGAAGTGTAAAAACTAGTCTGAACTGTTTTAAACTCATCAGGTCATGTCTCTCTTTCAAGGCAGCTCATTTATACCTGCATGCCATTGTTCTTTACCATCCGTCCTACTGAATCACTGCCTGGGGCCAGGCCACTGACTCAGCCGCCAGACCTCTATTCTCACTCCATAAACAAGCTTTAAAATTTTTTAGATCAGAAGCCACAAAAATGGCACCATTGCAAAATCATTGAGAAATATAATTTGTTCACTTTATCCAAGTTTATAAAATTCCCCCCTTTTTTTTTTTTTGAAGTTGTCTTTAAGTGTGTAAATGGACTGGCCCCACAAGCGATGTCTCAGATTTTTAAGACAGACAATTGTAAGACAATGACAAGGAGGAATAATCAAGCAAAACTGTTAAGATTCAAAGATGCAGGACAACATTTGGCCAATCATCCCTCTCAGTGCAAGGTACACACCTCTGGAATTCTCTACCATTAGAAACCAAATCCCAAACAGAACTAAAGAGGTTAAAGCTAAACACTGGCTTAAGCAGCAGCAGAAATGTGAACACTGTCAATATGGCACTTTATTAATGTTAGTGCTAAATTTAACTTGCATGATTGTTTTAAAACATTCAACCCTAATTCAATTTCCCCTCCATTTGATGGGAAACTACATGGAGCGAGGACAGGAGAGCCAGTGAGTCAGAGAGACAGGAGGAGGGGAGCTGGGAGGCCTTTGTGGTGACTACAGTGTACAAGAGAAGGTAATCGGTCGACAAGCATAAAGTTATTCATGGACAAAGCACACAACAACGTGGCAAATAGACAGGACATTTAATCAAACTGTATCTGCTGCCTGTCAAGTTTGGTTGGATACATTATTACTGTGCAGTGTGCACAACTCATCATTCTAGTGATGTTTGGTCATTTATGTTTTCAATTTCATCCTTCCAAATAGAGACCTTTTTGTTAATTTTTTTCTTTATCTTATATTCTCAGGTTTTTGTTAAATTTATTGTATTTTATTTTTCTGATGTGGTGCTTAGGTGACAGTGACACACTAAGGGCTTTATTTTTGTGCCTCACCGGCGACGCGGCGCACGTGCGGCGTAAGTCAGGTCCGCCTCGCCGACAAGGTGTTCCCAAGCACAATTTGGTAGCGCAGCCCGGCGTAAGTATCCCCCCTCCCTAACTTAGCTCCTCCCAGTGGCTTAAGTCGTAGCGAGGGAGGAGAGAGGGCGTGGAGTGGGTTGAACACAGCCGAGACCTGTATTGACCAATAACATCAGCTCCTCTCCTCGCCTTTAAATCCGCCACCGGCGAGGCGTATTACAATTTTCGTGAAGTAGTCAAAGAGATCAAGAGATGTCTGAAGACAGCAATGCCACACGATGGAGACAGAAGGCAGCTCCTCAACAAGTGTCACTGTAAGTGCTGCAGAGGGTCTCCTCCACACTCTCACATATGAGCACAGATAGATTTGGTGTGTGTAATGTTGGACCCACTAGTAAGACAAACACCCTTTCCACAAATAAAGACACTCACATAAAGTTGCACATATTCAAACCTCACTTGACAAAGGTGGGTTGTGCGCACAGATCACATCACAAATTACAAAAATGGCATTAAAATGTGAACCTTCTGTGCATAATGATGAATCGCGCTCCGTGGCCTGGCTCTTTCTGTCATAGATATTGGCATATAAAATAAAGTTGGCTCACAAAACTGAATATGATAATATTCGTATGTGGTCCTAAAGTAAAAAACTTATCTGATCACTAAAACAAATCATCTGTTCAGCCGCTGCAGCAGCAGCTGCAGCAGGACGGGGAGAGGACACGGAGACGTGTTCAGGTCGAGCTGCCCGAGAAATAAGAGGAAGAGGAAGAAAGAAAAGGAGGGAGACGAATTACATATCTTGTTGACTTCATCATGCGTGTCTATTTACTAGATATTTACATTAATTTAATGCAGTTTCAGCTGTGTTGATTTGGTCAGGTTGAGTGGCCAAATGCGTGCCAAACGCGCTCATCAGATCATATATAGATCAGAATATATCTATATAGATCTAAATGTATGTGCTGACTCAGATTATTAGTTGTTGTTGATTATTTATTGCACTGAAATGTGTCTGACACTGTGGAAACCTGCCGGTGAGGCATCAGTGCCGATACGCCGCAGGTCTTCCAAAATACCACTAGACCAGCTGCGCTCCGCCTGCGCTGAAAGCTGACCAGGTTTGAATCGGTGAGCTTTCAGCGCACGTTATACGCCACCGGCGAACACGAAAATGTCACTGCGCCAGCTGGTTCTGTCGACACTTCCCCCTGCAATGCCACCACACCCAACTTGGCAGATCTCGGTGCGCCTCAGTCCACGAAAATACCAAACTGCCTTTACGCCGGGCTCCGCCAGACAAAAATACAACTGCGTGGGGTCCGCCACCCTCCCGCCGCCTCACTGGCATACACGAAAATAGAGCCCAATGAGTAAGACTGGCTTTACTGGTGTCAAAGAAATCTGTTAACAATAAAAATATGTTTGTTTGCAATATGCCAGTTATTTTTATTGCTCATTCCAAATTGATTCCAAGTGTTCTGATGGGCCACATGGTGTGTCAAATGTTGCTACAAATGTTATACTAGATAGGTGCGGAAATTAAGGTGAAAAAGAAAAAAAAAACGCTTTAAAAACCTGAGAAAAAAAGCATATTTTTACAGCGCGCACACGCGCTCCAGAGGGGGACCCAGCACCTCCTGGAGGACAAATTAAGCACTGATTATATCCTACACTTAAGCCTGACCAGGGACAAAGAATGCAAATGAGCTGAAGCTAGACATTTTGTATGCATCACATTTTCCATTTCTTGTGGCAATGTTGTATGTATTGTCCCTGTTAAATAAACACTAAAATATGATAAATAAAATGAAATAGGTTAAAGCATGGAGCTACATGACATACAGATACAACTACACCACTAAGACAAATCACAGGCAGAAGTAAACAGTGTGTTGTCTTTCAGATCAGTCCTCAATACAGAAGAATCAAAGTAATGAGCTTAACCCCGAATAATACTCCACAAGATGTACTTTAATATGTAAATTTACTTCATTTCTTCTCACCACTGGAAAGAAAGAAATGTCCAAATATAGAGTGCAGTCTCAATCTTTGCGGCTTATTGCCACAAAGATGGAAAAGTATGCCAACCAGTTTTACAGTACAAGCCAGTACATGCCCATTTATTGCCCCAGTGTCCAATTTGCTGCCTTCTTGCAATATGACAGAAGCTAAACAAGCCATTTCTATGAGTGGAATCAGGAGAGGATAAGAGTCAGAGAGAAGGAGATAGGGACACAGAGTTACAGAAGGAGGGAGGAAACCCCTTGACCAAAACTAGCATGTCCTGCAGTGACATGTATATTGAATACCAATCAGAGGCATGGGGCTCGCCAGCTTGGGCATGGCTCTCATTTCTAATGCACACACTGTAGCTCAATCAGAAAAAGGCCTGGCGGATGAAAAGGGATCGCTTGCTTGGCTCTCTGAATATTAGCTAATGCCACATTTGCAAGTCTTCAAGAGCAAAGGGATGGGGGGTGGGTGAGAGGGGAGCAATGAGAGAGATGAGGGAGATACAGAGGGGTGAAAAACAGAGAAATATGAGAAGGGGAAGATAAAGATAGAAATAGAGTGATTGGAAGAAAAGCAGGCGAGAACATAAAAAAAAAACTGAGCTCTGTTTAGGACTGTTGAAAAAGAGATTATTCCTCGCATTTAAAAAAAAATCTGTGAATGGCTTTGTAGTGCACAAGCGATGGAAGTGATGCCTGGATGGGGATTATGCTCTTTTCATCATAAAGCCCCATCTGGCATACTAGCAGGACCACGTCTGTCCAGGCCTCCCGCCCTTTAAAGTGCCGGCTTGGGTTACACATCAATCCAGTCCAATTGCAGCTGTGCCGGGAAAATAAGGCAGACCAATTTTTACTCATACATGATGAAGCACACGTTGACACACATTCATAAACACACTACCAAATGCTCATCAATTACAAAACTGTGTGTGCACATGCAAATAGACAGATGGATGAACAGGGGAGCAGGCTGAAGTGAAGATCATACATGTATGTACACACTTAAACATGCACACACATGCATACCCCCTTGCCCCCTTACCCAGAATCCCACAGAAACAATGATAAAACACAAAAAGGACTGCTCTGTTTTTGAAGCATGCCTATTCCCTACTTGAAAGAAGCAGCTATAATTAAAACCAATGGGCAGCAATGCAAGATAAATGAACAGCAGAGCATTCACCAGACCCCTCCTCATCTTTTAACTCAACCACTGGTCCAGTGTCTGACAGATGTTCCAGCTCTATTTGATGTTTGCATGCATGCCCACATGTGTATGTGTATGTGTATGTGTTTTTTTTTTCTTTTTTATGAGTCTGTGTGTCAGAACTGACTGTCAGGACTGTATCATTCGTCTTCTTCTTCAACTTTTCCTTCATACTCTCTTATATCCATAAACTCATCAGATTTTCTATAAGCTCCAGATTTGCCTTTACTACAGTGGTTACAATGTGCAACACATGCGGTCACATGGTGCAGAAATGGTCCAATAAGAAATGCGCTAATAAATTAAAGCAGCATTTTGTGTGATGATATCATACCTTCTCTGGAGTTATAGTGCTTACTACCAAGGGAACTAATTAAACACATACATATACAGCTCAGCCCTTTCACATCTGAACACTTGCCAGCACAACTTTCTACACTACATGTAGCAACAAATTTCTTTGGGCAGCTACAACGTAAAACCTTACTTGTGTTTTTGGAAATCCGTGAATGGAATTCATTAAATATTCAAATACTCTGAATATTTAAAAAGCGATTACACTATTCTGCAATGATTAATCTAATGTGGAGAGTTGAATCTACAGTGAATCATTAAAATAGTTTCACAGCTAAACTGCATGCAATAATGAAGATGGATTTGAATCACACCACATTAACATACCCTCCCTTTAACACCCTAATTTGTTAAAGGAGATGGGATTTGAACGATAGGTCATATTTCTCCTGCAGATGTACAATTACTCTTTTTAGAAGACATTTGCCTTTCAGCCACAAATGATATTAGATGTCACACATTAACTTGAAGGACACGATTCACTTTCTAGCTATGGTAGACTTTTAAGTCTCCAATCTAAATTAGCTGGGGAGGATGGTTCTTCATCCCTGGACCATGCCATCCTCACACTGGGACTCATCATCAGTAAAAAGGCTTTATCTTATCCATTATCTTATGATCATCCTATTCCTACGTGTTCCTACACCAATAGGACATGAACAAAGAGGATAATATTACAACTGTATGAAGATAAATAAAACTCAATTTCACTCAAATTAAAAGAGACATTTGATTCTTTTGAAAATAAAACGATAAAAAGGGATTCAATTTGATTTCTTTGGCATTAAAGACGGTTTTGGCTCTCCTTTGACAATCTTGGACGAGGAAATTGCATTTTATCAAAACTATGAACAAAGACAAATGGAGAGATTGGAAAAAGAGGGCAAAATAATGTTATGACTCTATTGGAAATTGTTCTGTTAACAAATTGGTGGGTCTCAGCTGTTTCCCGAGACTTCTGCCTCCAGGTGCATTTGTCTGCCTGTTTGTCTGTCTCCAGCTTCATTGTAGTGCTGCATTCAATGCTGGACTTTGAGTTGCATCCGGACAGCCTAAATGACAACGCTGCCGGCAAAAGACAGCAAGTGAGAGAGAGAGGGAGAGAGAGTTGACGGGAGAGGTGTGAATAAAAGAAGCCCAAATCACCGCTCCCCCCACATCCTTTCCTTTCCCCTCCTCCCCTGTCAGCCGCTGTGGACAGCCCCGGGGAGATCAAACCTGTTTGTAATCCCGCTCTTCCTCTTCATGTCTGTGTGTTTACAACCTGACCACATTGCTGCTGTACGTGCTCTCACAGCTCTGTCTGTGGTCCACGTCTCACTCTATTAAATCAATGTACTAAGGTGGGGAAGGAATGGGATGCATTCATTGTCCTTGGCTGACAACTTTTAAAAAAGACAGTGGCAGAGTGCTAGTTTTTCTGCACTATGCTGACAAGTGATGGGCAATTAATTTGCAGCCACTGCTCCCCCACCTTCACGTGGCCACAAAAGACATTTCCAGCACTGGGTCTGAGTGATCAGTGAAGTGCCTGCTGCATGACTTGTCATCAGATGGTGCGTTTCGCCTTGAGAGGAACTAACTGTTGGGAATGACGTTTTCCTCCACAGCAATCTAGGGGCCTTGTTTCTTTTACTTCCTTTCAAATGCAGAAATTTGGGGAAGGGGCCCAGCCATAGATCACAGGACCTAGATCTGTGGGGTTGGTGGGCAGGGGGGACAGCCTTTGGGTTGTAACCCTGGAACTTCTTTAATGGAAACCGTATGACTTTTAATGGGCAACCTCTGGGTGGTCCAATCAACCTCAAGATGAAACTTAGTGACACATGTCTCTGGTGATTGATTTCAGGCAGTGTTTTTCCTTGGGATGTTTGTGGATCTGAATGACAATGACAGTTATTTACGTTATGTTTTCAATGAATTCCCTGCAGGTTGTGATGGTTTTCCTTTAGGGACTTAGTGGTTTCTTCATCAAGCAAGGCTTTACAACACATTGGATCCATGGGTCAAGACTAGCTGGGGAAATACTTAATGTAAACACGCCTTTAATCCTTCCCTTACAAAACATCATCCGTGCTCAAACTACACCATTCACCATGAACACAATGCTCTTTACATCTTCCAGAACCTGAAGGTCAGAAAGTAAACAAGATGGTACAAAGCTCACCACTCGTGACCCCATCACCAGAATGTTACAAATCTGCATTACAAGAACAACAATCATCTCACTACAGCGGTTTTTCTGCAACAAACCCTGTCACCCTGCAACCATCTGACATTATTGTCTACAGAGTCTCTGCAACATTTGTGGTGGGTATTTTCAAAGCAGTGGGAAAACCCTTCCCTCTGACTTTGAATTGACCATGAATAAGCACATTTTCACTGGGCTGGCTGGTTTCACATTAAACAGACTGTGTCTTTGGATGGTGGTGTCTACGCCCATTAAGATGCTTTAATACATGAAGAGGAGGTCATGCTAGTAGATGTAAGACGTGGATAAATAAAGGTCATACACATCCAAACCAAGCCTCAGAACAACAAAAAAGCACTGTTACACAAATGAACATCTTTACTAAATTCAATTTTGACATTTTGCCTGGATTAATTGTCAAATTAATCCATTGTATCCAGCAGTTCTGACTGCTGCAACCACTAACCTGGAGTGTAATTGTGGTGAATCACAGTGGCATGAACATAAAAAAATTGTTTGGCAACTTATCTGTATCCAGTTTCTCATAATTGAGCTAAGCCTTAAAGTGTCTACTCAAGTCAAACAGTTTCAGCGTCTAATGCCAAAGTATTTGCCCAGAACTTTTTTCATGTCAAGTCAGGGTGTTCAATCATGTGGTTAGGCATTGAGCTGTTGAGTTGAAAATGATGGGACTGCGACCAAATCAAGTCTTCAAAACTCTCAATTCCACTTTTTTTTTTACTAGTGGCATGGTGTCACTTTTGACTTGCTTTTCAACTTTTCATTGAAAACAGGACTGAGCATGTAAAAAGGTCTGCTATATTTCATAAAATGACTCAAACCATAAGTGGTCAGATATTTTTACCCATTTTAACTTATAAACATTTCCGAAAACAACAATGAAACCAACAACCTCTGATCTAAATGACCAAAACACAGCTAAATGAACTGGTTTGTAATAATGACAAACAAAATATAACAACATATTCACTGTCCTCCAAGTTCCCATAATGAAATATTGTCTTAACAACAATAATAACAAGAGGTTTGCCATTCCTCTGGTGAGCACAAAGCCATCCCACTGGGCTGATCAACCATTTGGGAAGCCGTCATTTGCAAAAGTATCTGCCTATAAAGAACATTTGAAAAAGAAAACATCCAGCCAGTAGCTAATAAAAGTGGCTTGCCATGCTGACAGCATACATTTGATTCAGGGGTTTGAAGAGTCAGACACAACCGCTACTGGGGGTCAGTGTGTGGAATGGCGTCCCACAGAGACCCCTTGATAGAGGGACTGGAACTGAGCGAGGGAGGGGTAAGGATATGAAAAAAAGACATTTAAAGCTTAAGTAAACTGCTAAAAGGAAGAATTGCAAATCATTATCATCTCATGAACAGGCTAGAAAGAGATTAATTGTAGGCAGCTACCACACATTGTTGGAAGAAAAAGCTTAGAGGAACGATGACCATAATGGCTACCTGCAGTGCTTGGAAAAAAACAGAGTGCGCCCCCACCAAGCCCTCCATCTTTCACAGAGCTGCAAGAAGCCCCGGCTTCTCCTTTGGTCAGAGCAAAATGAAAAGAGAAATCCACCCCTGGGTTTAAAAATAAAAGGCCTGGATCAAACTAACACCAGGAGAGTTTTTCGTCCACTTTGCTACCTGCAGTTTCTGCGTATTAGCCATTTCTGCTCCTGGTCTACGTCCCGCAGTGAAATGAATACAAAATTACTTTTAAGTTAATGCTACATGACATTTCCCCCTGTTAACAAAGATCCTCTTTGCTTTTTGTTGGACTACTTAGAGCTGTTGCACATTTCTAAAAACCACCTGCAGGAGTGATTCGCAAATTTGGCAAAGTGCACCTGAAACTGTCGGATAGCAATGACCGACATCCTGAAAGATCATAAGAGCCAAATTCATGACTATGTTTAGTAACTGCACGCAAACAGCTGAAATAAATAATACATTAAGACTTTGTATCAATAACAGCAAAGAAATGCAGCGCTAACAGCATCAGACTTGATGGAGACCCCCTACCTGGCAGCCTCTGTATCCACGACCCCCGCTGTTTGTGTATTGTCGAACCATAGCAGCCCATTGACAGCCTCCCACGGTTTGCCAATTTCCCGTTGGTGGTCCAGAGTTTCGCCTGTCCTTTCTCAGCATTGTGCAACTGGAATAGGTGCATCCTCCCCTGTTCACGCTGCGGTTGTAGCTGCACGATCTGATTGGATGGCGCCAGACGAGACTTCATCAGGAGAACATCCCTGTCGTCATGACAACTTGCCAATATCCCAACAGGGGTGTGTTAGTAGGAGGGTGGGGTGGTGGGGCATGGTTGAATCCCTGCCCACAACTGGAAATCAACACTTCATTTTACATCATCGTTACCTCACCACTCGTTTCCCGCCGTGTCAGTTCTAGCGGCTAAGCTAATCTGCCCAGTGCGATCGCGGAGAATGTTTGGGCTCCTCTGCTACAATATGTGAGTGTACGACCAGCTGTCCCAACAGGGTCTCTCAGTCCAATGTCTCGCACCACGGGGTACCAAATCAGCTTATAGGACTTTCTTAATCAGTATTCCATCACAAGCTTCAGAACGTCAGATAACGGATACTAAGAGGGATTTCTAACTCTGACAGAAAGTTTTCTCTTCATACAATACTGTATTATCATGTTTCAGCCACTCACCCATAAAAAATACTTGACAAAGGAGACTACAGTTTGGGATGGTTGGTTGAAACCATAGCAACCAAGTAAAGCCATGAAACTTTTCAGAGACAAGAAACTCTCTATCATTAGAAGTCTCTCCGATGTACAGAACCATATATTTCCTACATCTGACCATGCACAGCAGTTCATTTTTGACTAAAAGATTTTTTAACCAGCAGTTGCTAACTCAACATGAAGCTTAAGAACTAATAGCAAGACAACCAAACCTCACTGGAAAAGGGCAAACAACAACACTATAAGATGGAAATAAAAGAGGACAGAGGGAGAAAGTGCGAGAGAATTAAAGCAAAGAAAGTATTATCTTGTTGTCAGCCATGCTATCAGATGCACAAACAGCTGAATGTTTGGCAGATAAGACTCCTGCTGTGCTGCTAGCCTGCTAGCCGGTGATAAGCACAGCACAGGCGGCTGGTTCCCAGGGTTCTTTCCCAGTTACCTCCTGCCGAGTTGGAGATGCTGACCTTGGCCACTGCTGGAGTTCTCCTCCCCTGCTAGGAGTGAATGGCACTCTGGGACGGAGGGCCCTAGCCTCCGCGCTCCTTTGATTGTTAATCCCCCAAACATTGTGCACCACCAGGCACCCTACCTGGCCCTTGAGCTTGAGGCTGCTTGGTACTGGCCATTGAAAGCAGGTGATGAATGGGGCATAGCTGCTGGAGACCAGGCTCCCCGGGTAGCGGAGGAGCTCTGTAGGCCTACAAAGCTGCTTAAAACAGTCCAGTCTGGTTTTCATCTGTTTTGGTGGATTTCAGAAGAAAGACGGATGCCCCTGCATTAGTCCTCGCTTTTCCAAGTCTTGATAAGTTCCGAAAACGGTCATATTAAGTGAGCGTTAGGAATTCACAAAATGTAAACAATGTACTCCACAACCCCACAAAGGGCAGAGACAGATTCATGTACATGTGAATACAAGTTCGGAAACACAATAGCTGACAAATGAAAAAAATCTTCCTTACTTGTGTTTACCAGTGGAGCCGGCAAAAATTGATCAACCGTGGTTTGAGAGAGGACATGGACCTCTTAAAGCGATAGCATCCTTTTTTAGGACCACCGCCCAGCATGGGTTCCAGTGTAAACCTGTGTCAGCGGAGTTATATTATGTGAGTTTCAACCTTTCATTAAGTGTATGAAGTCAAAACAGTGCTTTGAGCAGTTTGATGGCGACTATTGCAGGATATAATCTATAGATATCCCTGAAGACATAAAGAAAGAAAGCGATTTCCCGTTAAACCTTCAAAAACCTGTTAGGACAGAATCACAAAAGCTAAATATTGTATAAAATTCACCATGACGATTAGAAGACACAGATACAATAACACTTCTCAATGGCGGTAACACTCGATTCTGCCATTTCAGATTTTTGCCCCATTAATACTGAATCCTAAATTGTTCCCAAATACATTACTGCGGCAAAAAAAAGGGGTTTAAAAAAAAAAAGGAAAAAGAGCAACGCTGTGGAGTGAAAAATGAAAATACAAACCTTCCATTGTAACGTCAGCAGCATGTTCAAGAGAGACTGCTGGATGCCAGACTCTTAAGGGGACCGGAGCTGAATTCAATGCCTCTTGTCAGGGAAGCTTGATGTGATTATCGCCCCCTGCTAGGGCAGGGATAGTGAAGTTGTCTGGCGCTGGCAAGGACGCTCAAACGGCTCTGCGGGATGCCCCCTTGCTGTCCCCTCTCCAGGAACATCGCTCCGGACGCAACAGGGGGTGGGAAGCATCCACCATTTCCACCAAAGGATGTGTGTGTACATGTGGCTGAGTGTGCGTGTGCGCATGTGTGAATTTGAGTTGAGTTGACATTCTTTCCCTGCTGTTTCTCAGTTGTTGCGGCTTATGTTGTGGAGGAAAACAGTTTTTTGAGACAAGATTGGCCCCCTTCAAAGCTTAAAAAAACTGGTGTTCAAGTTCAAGGTGCTGCTGACTGGCAACTTATGGACTTATTATTCTTTAATGCATTATGCCTCAGTGTGTGAAGCAATTTCAGGGTAGTCCCAAGTGTGTGTGCTTATTTGTGTTTGCCTTTAAGTGAATAAAAATCATTGTTTGTTCGGCCTCAGGAATACCACCCCCCCCCACCCCCCACCCCCACCCCCCTCCACTGAGGACTAAGGCGCTCCTGGCTCATATCGACTGACCCTCTGCTTACTATTGATCTATGAATTTGTACGATATGATAATAACAGTATGTCTTTTTTAGTAGGATTGCAATGCATCTATCTAATTCCTTTAATCTCCTCTAAAACCGTTTGTGAAACAACAGTAATACACAGAGCGTGTATCTGAACAAAACATGTTGCATAGCGACCTGGTGCTGCAAACTTCAACTTATACCCAGTAGATTTTCTTATATGGTTGTATATATGAATACATCACTGTAGGGTTAAAGCTTTAAATGATTTATATGCACATTTGACTGAGAAATGATGTAAAGAATGCATAAATAAAAGAAAAAGAAAGAAAGGCCTGAGGAGAAAGGAGAAGAAAATATTTATGCATGCAAGAAGAATCAGCTGAAATATAGAGAGAGATCTACTGCAGAAACCCATTGTTAAGACACAGTAACATACATGTCAGATCTGACCCCTGCATGTCAATGGGCTTTGACCACCCAGGCATGAGCTCATGGGAGCGCTGCCTTTTGGGCTACTGGGGCAGTTAGAGAGAGATCCCCAAAATGTTCCCCCCTCCTTGCTTTCTTGAGCTGCCCCCCCGGAGGAAGAAGGGGCAAAATAAGACTTCAAAGCTCCCCAAAAATAGTCCTGACACAAACTCATTTCCTCATGTTACATGAAGAGGGCTGGCAGGCTCGCAAGACTGCTCTGACTCTGGTATGTCTCAGCCTCCGACTCTGTGCTACCTCATAACAAGCGGTGGTGACGGGATGCCATTTTGACAGAGCGATTATGGACAGTCTGACATCGACTTAAAAGGAGCCAGATGGGGGGAGAATTTACAAGGGCCTATCTGTGGGTCATGCTGGGCTCAGATGAGATGAGGAAATGGGAGCTCATTTAGCGGGATGCTATTAGCAGTGAAGGACCGCAAATGACTGCAGCTTGTAACTATATTAAGATGGAGCGGTGGAGGCTGGGATAGGCTGTACGTTCAGCTGTTAAAACTTAGTTCTGACATTTTCTGAACCACAAATCAGGACTTTTTTTCAGAGGGGTTATGTTTGTACTGAAAACATAAGTCAAAGGGTCAGGCCATTTAAGTCAGATTTTATAGATTACCATCTACTGTTGTCCAGCTGTGCAGATAGTTTTGATGTTATGGTTTTAGGTTTTGAGAAATCTACATGCGGAGATTCTGTCACAGAGATATAATGAAACCTGTCTGCTGAAAGATTTTACCATTAGTAATATTCTGATTGATTAATTTAAGCAAAATTATTCAAATTTCTCCACATTACATCATATGAAGACACTGAAATACAGAAAAATATACTTCATCTTGTCTTGTACATGCATTTAAAAAGATGCATTTTTCATTCATGTAGAAACCTGTTGGTGGGGCTTACCATTTTATTTGTGATAACCTAATGAATACAGCAGAACCAGAAATGTTGTCCTCTGTTTTTCCTGGTTAAAACACAGCCCCTGTAGACACAGAACAAAAAAAGCTGAGCTACAGATCTGGTAAAGCTTTGTTAGGGTCTCCGAATATTGCTGCTTCTTTCGGAGTCTCACAACCAGATTTTTTTAAACACATAACCCAAATATTGTCTTCAGACTAACCTGATACTGACTGTGAGGTTTCTACAGAATCAGGATCAAATGAAGGTTTCACTCAAAAAACGGAATCCCATAACCCAGATGCGTAAGTGAGAACTTGTCTCCAGGGTTGCTACATGATTTTACTCGCAAACTATTTGAAAACCTGATTTGATTAAATTATACTCATGCTTAAACTTGTAGCAGTCTGACTTTGGCAGTGAGAGATGACTTTCATATTTCTGTCTTTTAGTTTCTGTTAAAAACATTCAGTGCCAGTGAGGAGCGCCTCATTTCATGAGAGATGATTGTGTCCTGTTTAGGACAGTCAAATGACTCGTTTTTGAAATCCTGAATGATCACTGAATATTAGAAGTTCAAATTAAGTTTCCAAAATAAAACCCAGTGTTAAAGTCAGATTGTATTTCACTGAGCTACACCAGTAAAGCTTCATAGGGAGCATGTGCAGTATTATAGAGTTTACTATGGACTATGTCGGGGTTTGGAGATTTTTCAAATATCGTGTTTTTGTTTATTCAGAGAGGGTATTTTTTACATGTGATGCACAAAAAACTCTGAACTAAAAGGTGAGCTGAGCAAAAACTTAGGTATAAAACCACATTCCATGTTTATTTTTATTTCATAATTTGGATATACTCCTGCTAATTTCAAGGCTGTAGTGTGTGTTTGTGTTTGTTTGTGTGTGTGTGTGTGTGTGTGTGTGTGTGTGTGTGTGTGTGTGTGTGTGTGTGTGTGTGTGTGTGTGTGTGTGTGTGTGTGTGTGTGTGTGTGTGTGTGTGTGTGTGTGTGTGTGTGTGTGTGTGTGTGTGTGTGTGTGTGTGTGTGTTCCTGTGTGTCAAAACATGGCCTCATAAGCTGCACAATCTTAACATGGCCTTGAACTTGACTGGGCTTAAATTCAATCAAGTCTTTGACACACTTATTACTTAGAAATTATGAACTGGCTTCAGATCTAAAGTTATAATTTGGAGGGAGACTAACCTCCCTGGACCTCTTCCATCAAAGGAACTTCTTCATTTTAAAGTTTCTAAATGCTTTTAATCTTTTTTTTCTTTTTTTTTTCTTTTTTTAAACTTAGTCTGCATCAGGCTGCTGTGATGCAGTGTGTGGGATGAAATATCTGTCAGACGTTCTGTATTTGAGGGTCGGGTAAGAATCTGCAGCTTGAAATAGATGCCAACAACACTGTTTGGCCAACAGGTATCCAGCTGTTGCTAGGGACCCCTTCCTGCAGCAGCACCCTGATGGTGATTGGTTGATGCAATTTATCCACGGGGTTGGGTTGCTGCATTGTATACATGTCTCCCTGCACAGACAGTGAGATAATGCTGCAGATAGGCTTTTAATAGGGAGTTCTGCCTTCAAAAGAAACCATTTACCCCCCAAACAATAGCCCTGCTTTCTGCATATATTACACCGACTCATCTGCATGATGCATTTCAATCACAGAGAGAAATGAGGTAAGATTATTAATCAAGATAAGGTGATACCATTAATAGATAAGTCCAGGATGTAATGTAACCCTTATAATGAGAGCAGGAATGAACCTGGGCACATTTATAAGATAATAATTGGTGCAAGCGCTCAATCTGCACGGAAAATTGATACGGTCATATTTGCCCCAACATCCACACCTACACCTCTACCTCCTACACTAAAACACAAAGAGAACTGTGCATATATGCCTCAGCAAGATGGCACTACATTTAAAGAGGTATGATTCATAAAGCAATAGCTGAGGAAATAATGAATGATGAATAAATGAAGATAAAAAATTGATCCATCTCACAAATTGCATGCAGCCGAGCAGAACTTAGAATCCCTACATCAAGCAGCACTAAATATAGATTGTATGAAAGCTATTGACTTTTTCATTGCTTCAGGATACATTGATTTTTCCCTTTGATTGTGTTTTCCTCAGACGCAGGAAGAGGAAAAGCAGCTTCAAACTGATGCACAGATAGCACAGACATTTTCAACAAAGAAGGAATCCAAAAACAGATACCTGGCAGGACTGAGCAGCCAAGGACACGCTGTGAATGTCTGCAGAGTTAGAAAGCAGTGACACAGACCTGTTGAGCGACTCTTTCCTCTAGCCTTCTTGGCTTCTGGGAGGAGGACACTTGTTTCTCTGGCAAAGGGGGTTTTGATCTTTTTGCGTCGGCATCCGCTTCCTCCATCTACAAAGGCCATGAAAGAGAATGAGTAATTCATCTATCTGTGTGTGTGTGTGTGTGTTTGTGTGTGTGTGTGTGTGTGTGTGTGTGTGTGTGTGTGTGTGTGTGTGTGTGTGTGTGTGTGTGTGTGTGGTGTGTGTAAGGCATGACCTATTTTTGCCACACTGACGTGAGGTTGGCATTTGAGCCTTGGAAGTATAACTGCAGACAGACACACATTGCATAAAGTGTAGGCTTTCCCTATGCTGAACAGGTAATTTCAGCATTCATTTCAAACCCTAAATGTGTGCATGTGCAACATTTTTATGCATACTTTTGGATTGACTTAAAGATGCAGCCTGTAGTAGTAAGCAGCATTAGGCAAAGCAGACTTAGTAGATACATCATTTCATAAATATGCTCAAATTGGTGTAAAAATGACCCCTAAATATAACAGTTATTTTGTTTTTACATCAACCTAGGAAGGGTCCCCCTCCATGGGGGACACAAACTGCTCACATGTGTTTTTTTTTTTTTTTTTCTAATGTGCACTACAGGCCAAAAGTTTGGAAGCAAGATCAGATTTGTACAAAAAAAATCATAGTTTCATGTACATCATTTGCAACACAATAAACATGACTATTGTGTTGTTACTCTTTAGTAACTTATCAGAAGACATTTTGACTATAATTATTAGGTATTTGAGTTATTGTTGCTTAGACATTGCTTTCTTTAAAGTAACCTCCTCTGGCTTGAACAACAGCTTGGCATTTACCAGGCATTTGTTCCACAATTTTTTAATTCATCCCACACAAGCTCAGTTGGAGAAAGGTCTGGAGACTGAGGGGGCCAAACCATCTTTTGAGGAACACCTTCCTCTTCTTTTTTTGTCTAGGTAACCCTGACAGAGCTTGGCAGAGTGCTTAGGGTCATTGTCTTGCTGCAAAACAAACTTATGAGCCACAAGTCTGAGTCCAGCTGGAACAGCATGGTGCTGGAGGATGGAGTGGTATTGTTCCTTCTTCATGATACCCTTTACTTCAAACAAATCTCCTACTCCATCACCTGCAAAACATCCCCATACCATGGAACTACCACCTCCATGCTGAATTGTGGGTGTAACAGATGGTGCTTTCAGACGTTCACCAGTTTGTCTGCAGACATTGACTCTGCATTTTGAACTAAACAGTGCAAACTTGTTTCTAGTAATCATCAGTCCAATTTTTGTGAGCTATGGCCCACTCATATCTCCTTTTCTTGTTCTGTGGACGAAGTAGTGTTTTTTTGCAGATACACAACCCTTCAGACCAGCCTTTCTCAAACGTCATTTCACCGTTGTGGTGCTGTCTTTCACTGATCTCTCTTACTGGTGACAATGCTATGTTTATCCTCTGCTTTTGTAGTAACTCTCTTTCGTCCAGGTCTATTTCTATCATCATAACTTCCAGGTTCTTCTAGTGTCTTCAGAGTGTAGTGGACTCCTTTGGTAAACACCTTTAGGCGTTTTGCAATTTTTCTTTCTGTGTATCCTTCTTTCCTCAATGTACAAATATGTACTTTTGTTTCTTTACTCAGTTGCTTCTTTCTATCCATTTTTGCGGTAGTTTGAATGCAGTTGAGATTTATTAGGATTTTTGTATGCAGACTCTCAAAAGCCAAAAAGTTGAAGTGAATAATTCAACTGTGATTTGTTTTTTTGCTTTTGCACTAAAGTTGTGACTCTTGCAAATGCTTTTAACCCTAAAACTAAGCCCTTATTATCTTTTGCTGACATATATTTAGCAATGGTCTGTTAACATCAATGTATATCTAAAGGTAAATGGAGTAAAATGGTGCATTTCCATGAAAGCAACATCTGATCATGGAGTAAATACATCCCAATATACATAAAACTCATGCTGGATTTAAAAAAAAGCATTGTGAACAAAAACTTGAAGTTACTCCCAACTGTTCGGCCTGTAATGGCCTTGCTTCCAAACTTTTGGCCTGTAGTGTATATATAAATGAGTGGCTGGCAAAATGCACTGGTTGGCTGATAGTTCAGTGATGTCCAAAGAATTGTGTTGATATATGTTATTGATGGTAAAAGCTTGGAAAATAGAGGACTATTCTTTTCATCCATTACACAAGTTACTTGTCCTCCAAAGCCAAGAATTCCTCACCAACAGGAGAGATGAGCTGGGGAGCATTTCAATCTGAAATCTGACTCTTTGATGTTTCTGTATATTTCTAAGTTCACAGTCGGTATATTGTAGTGTTGGAAAAACAGATTTATTTTTTTTTACATTAGTTGACTGAAACTGGACTCATAAAGTCCATGTTAGTCTGACAGCAATTGCACCTAAAATAATATTCCAGCGAAAATTTAAGTTATAGTCAAACACACCATAACATGTTAGTTAGACACCCCCTTGAGAGATGAATGTTGCCGACCACTTGCTTTTCTAGTTATACCAACTTTAATAATGACTACACAATAGCAATACACAGCGGTCTACGTCTCCACGTGCAAACCTCAACCAAAAAGCCGCTCTATAGCCACAAATAATGGTCAGAACTGCACCTAAATTCATCAACAGTACATATAGGGCCACAGCCACAGAACTAGCCATCAAACATCTTTTTAGTTTTGACTAATTTCTTTAACAAAGAGACTAAACACAACTCACCTACTCTCCTCCAACAGCCGCTTGTTTTGTTTATATTGATGATTATTACTTCATAGAAATGAAATCCGAGTTCTTGTGTATCTTGTATGTGCACTTTAGACACAGTAGTTTTTCTGCCTTACTGTCTTGGTCTGATTGCATTTCCATGAAGTCATAATTATAAATTTTTTGGTTAAGGTATGCCTGTGGTGACTGTGTATTGCTATTGTGCGGTCGTTGCTGAAGTTGGTATAACTAGAGAAGCAAGTACATTCAAACATTGCGAACATACATCTCTCCAGGGGGTGTCTAACTTGGTGTTACGGTGTGACTGACACTAACTTAAATTTATGCCAGAATGTCCTTTTAAGTGAATTTCTCAGAGTCTAGCTAATATATCTATATAAAACAGTTAGCGAATGGCTTTCTCTTCAATATGATAAAAAACTGAAAATGACACAAGCCTAAGCATTATGCTCTACAGTTTGCATTCTAGGCTTTGACCTGAAAGTTCAACAGCATAAAAGTGTTGTAGGAAACAAAACCTTGCAGAAGAATAAGGTATGTTAAAAAGACAAAGCCCTCATCAGCATTAAAGTGGCATTTAACCCTTCCGGGACCTTTAGATTTTCCTCCCTCTAAAGTCCCTCGTGGCTGTTAAAAGCCACTTTTTCTGTCGGCTGTAAAATCATATTGGATTAATATTTTTTTTAGATTTTTTTTCACAGATTTCTTATTTTACTTCTGCCCTGTTCGAAACTAGCAAATGTTTCATTGAAAACAATTTTTTTTAACCCTTTAAGTGCCAATTTAAGACAAAAAGTCACAAATTTAGCAAAAATTGAAGGAAAATGACCCATTTTTTTTATAAGACATGATCAGAAACTGGTAATCTCTTGCAGGGTATTAAAGTCTTGAATATGTCAGAGATTAGTAATATAATTTACTTATATGCATTTTCAGTTTTTCTGTAGCATCAGATTTAATGAAAACTGCCTTTGGCGCCTCCCAGTGGCCAAAACCACTATTTCTGCTGTAAAATCATATTGGATTAATATTTTTTTCAGATTTTTTTTTATACATTTCTTATTTTACTTCTGCCCTGTTCAAAACTAGCAAATGTTTCATTGAAAATAAAAATTTTAACCCTTTAAGAGCCAATTTAAGACATAAAGTCACTTAAAAAGCAAAAAAATGGAAGGAAAAAGAAGGAAAATGACCCATTTTTTAAATAAAACATGATCAAAAACTGGTAATCTCTTGCAGGGTATTAAAGTCTTGAATATGTCAGAGATTAGTAATATAATTTACTTATATGCATTTTCAGTTTTTCTGTAGCATCAGATTTAATGAAAAACTGCCTTTGGCGCCTCCGAGTGGCCAAAGCTACTTTGTCTGCTGTAAAATCATATTGGATTAATATTTTTTTCAGATTTTTTTTCATACATTTCTTATTTTAATTCTGCCCTGTTCAAAACTATCAAATGTTTCATTAGAAATAAAAATTTTAACCCTTTAACGGCCAATTTAAGACATAAAGTCTCTTATGAAGCAAAAAAATGGAAGGAAAATGGAAGGAAAATGACCTCTTTGCTTCATTAGAGACTTTATGTCTTAAATTGGCCCTTAAAGGGTTAAAATTTTTATTTTCAAAGAAACATTTGCTAGTTTTGAACAGGGTAGAAGTAAAATAAGAGCTGTATGAAAAAAATCTGAAAAAAATATTAATCCAATATGATTTTACAGCAGAAATAGTGGTTTTGGCCACTGGGAGGCGCCAAACGCAGTTTTTCATTAAATCTGATGCTACAGAAAAACTGAAAATGCATATAAGTAAATTATATTACTAATCTCTGACATATTCAAGACTTTAATACCCTGCAAGAGATTACCAGTTTCTGATCATGTTTTATTAAAAAAATGGGTCATTTTCCTTCATTTTCCTTCCATTTTATTTGCTTTTTAAGTGACTTTATGTCTTAAATTGGTCCTTAAAGGGTTAAAATTTTTATTTTCAATGAAACATTTGCTAGTTTTGAACAGGGCAGAATTAAAATAAGAAATGTATGAAAAAAAATCTGAAAAAAATATTAATCCAATATGATTTTACAGCAGAAAAGGCAGTTTTGGCCACTGGGAGGCGCCAAAGGCAGTCTTTCATCAAATCTGATGCTACAGAAAAACTTAAAATGCATTGAATTCAATTATATCACTAATCGCTGACATATTCAAGACTTTAATACCCTGCAAGAGATTACCAGTTTCTGATCATGTTTTATTTAAAAAATGGGTCATTTTCCTTAAATTTTTCCTTCCATTTTTTTTTGCTTTTTAAGTGACTTTATGTCTTAAATTGGCCCTTAAAGGGTTAAAATTTTTATTTTCAATGAAACATTAGCTAGTTTTGAACAGGGCAGAAGTAAAATAAGAAATGTATGA